CCGCAAAGTTGCCACTGCCGCCGCCACCTCCACCGCTCCCCCCACTGTCGCAAACCGCGCCCAGCCGCCGAGGCGGGCGTGCGTGCGACCCCGCCACACTGCTGAAAAAGGGGCGCGCGCGCGCGCCCTCCCGCGCGGCTTCCTGGCTCCTTCCCTTTCCCCACTCCCGTCTTGCCCTTTTCCCGCCGCCCTCCCGGCGGTTTGCACGGAGAGGTGAGATCCGTTGGCTTTCGAGGGCAGTATTTCGTACGTCCCCTTCCCCACGACTGCCTCAAAAAAGGAGAGGCGGAACTCAGAGGGATGTCCCCTCACCCCCTTCCTCCTTCCAAAGGCGTTTCAGCCGCAATTGGCCCAATCCTTCGATCCCCGACCCGCTGCAAGGACTCAAAGTCTGTGGAATGGACTAGACCACCAACGTCCCAGGGGACGGGGGAAGAGACAGAAGTCACCTCTTGATTTAGCGGTATGTGCCAGGTGCCCTTAATCCTGAACTCAGAGGGTAACGTTCTCAAATTATTCGTGGAACTGTTCACAGTCTAATTTTCGGTTGAGGATAGAAAATTTAAAACTGTAGACTACTTCTCACTTGTCTCCCCTACCGAGCAAATGGAAGATACCCGCTAATAGGTGCGCATGCGTTGGGCCGTGTTCTCGCGCTTGGTTGTCCGGACCCGCCTCCTCCAAGCCCCTCCTCTTCGAAATCTTGTATGCTGAAGCAGGTAGTCTTCCACCGGGTTTCCGTAGCCCAGGGTGGATTTCAAAGCGCTACCAAATCGGAGTGCCTGATTGCGTCTTACTTTCTTAATGAATATTTATTCTGGTGGATATTTATTGCGATGAATGATTATCCTCTTCCAATTTGTGCCCATATTGGGTAGGACTATCGTAAATTATGTGATTCGAGACTCCAGTGAGTTACAGCACAAAGTGCTCCTTTTAACTGTCAAAGGGTTATCAAGGCCCAGAACAACGCCAAGGCCTAAAAATCAGTGGCCATCTCCAAGTATGTATGAAACTGTGGTGTGATGGACAGTATTTTTTGGCATGCCAGGTAGGATAAAATTTTAGGGGAAGGCAACAAAGGTTATGTTTCACCAAAATATTTGTGTTAACCATGTCTGGAAGCTTGACAGGTGCCAAATACATTGGTGAAACTCATGGATTTGTTAGATGGGTCGTTAAGCCACAAAGGCAAATGAACAGCTCAGAAAACGAGAACCATGACAAGTAAAGGCAGTCCCCGTCCCCCCCCCTTTTTTTTTGGCTTGGGGGGAAGGGTGGGGGTAGGGAACTTAGCTGTGACTACTTATATTTCTAGGTCTCATTGTCCTCATCTGTAAAAATGAGAATATAGGAAGGCACCTAGTATTTCTTGAGCACTTGCTTTATGTATATTTGTTCTCTTTTAGATTTCATTACATCATCCATTGGATAAACAATATAAAGTGCCCCATCCATAAAATTCTAGTGTGCTCGAACTACTTCTGCACGATGCCTTAACATAAAGAATATCATTATCTCTGTTTCATTACTGCAGATGGCAAGTCACTCTTCCTTTAGGAGAGAATTCAGTTGAGAATGAGAAAAGGTAAAACAAAAGCAGAGCAGAATAAGAAGTTTTTGCAGTGGAGACTTAGGAAAAAATAAGAGAGCTGAAAAAAGTTAAAGTCCAGATCTTAATAATAGTAATTACAATTATTTGTTGAACTTGTAATGTGCCAGGCACTACTAAACATTCCTTAGTTGGCACAGAGAGATGAAGCTGGTATGGGGTCAGCCACTAAGAAAGTAAGATGTGCTTTGGTATGACATTTTCATGGGCAGAGACAAGCATATCCCGCTTACCTATTGAGAATGGTGTTTGTGAAATGTAGCTCTACAAAGGATGATCAACTAAAGCATTTCTAGTCCAAATTACTCTGTTTATCTGGGATCAGTGGGAACTGGGAAGTGGGAGTCAACTTCTAGTCGTATAATTAGACAAGTGCTGAACATTTGGATAAAGGGCACATATGGAAGGAAAATGCCTTTCAGCATTTGTTATCCGTAACAAAGTAAAAATACTTTTAGAGTTTTATTAAAATTTGAGGGGATATTTTAAAAATCTATCTGAGTCAGGGATAATACATGGAAATTGGTTAATATTTATCATTGCTAATGTTAAAAAATTATTCAGACACTTATTAAAACAATACAGAACTTTATTCAGGACTATTGTAAGTGTCAAGACTATCACAGTAGGAGAGAAAGAGCTCAACTCTGAATACGCCAAGAATAGGTGGACATTTATAATCAAGGAGCAGAGTTGGGGATAAAGGAGTTCAGGACATGCCACCTGCAATATGCTGTTTTGGTATATTAATTATTTTGTGCTGAAGACTAAAAAAAATACTTTTTCGAGTCCTCAGCTCTGCGCAACTTCTCTGAGCTCCACTTACCTGCTTAAATACAGATCCTCGAAAAGGAACTCAGCTGTCATACTCCCTAGGAGTTTTGCCAACCAGGGAAGATTGACTCTTATCACAGAGGAGGGGACTAGAAGTCAGAAGTCAACACCACATCCAGACAAATGTTGTCACAAACTATCATTATCTCTCATCTATTCCAAGGACCCATTCATCTTTCCAAAAAATTATTCTCCCCTAAGCAGGATACCTCCCCATATCCCCTCACCTTCCCCCTATTGAGATGATATAAACTCTCAAATACCACTGCTTTTCTGGATATTCACTTTTTCCCCTCTGTGATGCCCCTGTGCATGTAATTTTAAGAATTAATAAATAGGTATAGCTTTTATCTTGTTAACAACCTGCTTTCAGTTTATCTCATAGACCTAGCTATCAAACCTAGGAGGGTAGAAAGTCTTTCCTCCCCTACAAGGAGGGTTGGTGGATGGAAATTTACTAGAGGAGACTTCAAGGGTAGGGGAATTCTTCCTAAACTGACTTGCCAGGGTTATCAGATATCAAGGGTGGAGGAGTCTTTCTAAGCTGACTGAGCAGAATTCTTGCTACAACTGAACTAGGCAGGCCAAAAGATAAGGTCCACTTGAGAACAGGGCTCAGAGGAGTCTGACTAAAGTTTGGTTAAGGAGAGTCTTTAGTCAGGCTCCTCTTGATACAGGAAAATGGGTGCAAGGGGATGGCTGTGTCCCAGGTCTCAATTGAGTCCCTAGGACTTGCCCCACCAAATGAGGGTCCTTGGCTTCACACAGAAAAGAATTCAAGAGTAAGCCATAGTTGAGTAAAAGTAAATTTATTTAGAGAGATGTACAGGGTGGGGAGGGGGAGTGTTAAAGTAAAGGTAGATACACACTCCATAAAGTGGGCGGTCTTGGAAGGCAGGAGAGACAGAGGGACTGTTAGGCTTGGTGTTGCTAGTTTTTGTATGCTAACAAGTGAGAGGATTATTCCAGCTACTTTGGGGAAGGGGCAGGGATTCCTAGGAATTGGGCCACCGCCCTCTTTGACTTTCCAGGGTTAGCTACAGAGCTGTCATGATGCTTGTGGGTGTGTCAGTCACTGTGCTAGTACATTACAATGTATATAATGAAGCTCAGGGTCCACTGGGGGTCGAATCTCCCCCCATCTTGGGCCTCCAGGTCTATTGAGAGTTGACTTTTCTGCCATCTTGGTGCTAATTGTTATGTCATTCCTTTAATGGCTGTGTCCTGCCCCCTTCCCTCCTGTCTCACTCTGAGCCCTCTTCTAATTTAACGTGTATAAAATATCACAGATATGCTTTTTAGAGTGCTTTATGGTTTAATATAAGAATATAAAAGACTAATTACCTATTAAAAATTTTAAGTTTTTCAACACTGAATTTTCTTACTGTGATGGATTTCAGAAACTATCACAGCTGGAGAGGTCTTACCACCTGCATTTTACAAATGTGGAAACTATGGCTTTGTGAAATTAAACAGTTTGCCCAAAGACACACAGTTCTTCAAAGGAGCAGAGCTAGGGGTGATATTCAAGAGTCTGGGTTGCTTGGAAAGTACTTGTGCCTCAAGATGAGGGATCCTAGCAGCTCTAGGTGTATGTATTTCTACTCACAGAGCTTGATCTTTAGAACATACAGTCTTTTATACATCACCGAAGAACATCAAAAAGCTGTCTCACTTGGGACAGAAAGAGGATATAACTGGAGAAATGGGAAGATCCAAATAAAGTCTGGAGTTTAGTTAATAGTTACATGTTTCAATTTCTTAATTTTGACAAAAACATGATGGCAATGTAAGATGTTAATGTGGGAAACTTTGCAACTTTTCTGTACCCAAAAACCTAATTTTACAAAAGCAAAAATGAACAGTTGGTACCTAATTAAACTTAAAAGCTTTTTGCACAACATGACAGACAATGTACGGAATGGGAGAAAATATTTGCAAACACTGTAACTGATAAGCGCATATATCCAGAAAAGAGGGAAACTCTGTTTTGAAAATATACATGCACCCCAATGTTCGTAGTAGCACTGTTTACAGTATCCAAGACTTGGAAGCAACTTATATGTCCATCAACAGAAGAATGGAGAAAGAAGATGTTATACACACAAATGCAATGGAATATTACTTAGCCATAAAAAAGAATGAAATAATGCCATTTGCAGCAACATGGATGGACCTAGAGATTATCATACTAAGTGAAGTCAGTCAGACAAAGACAAATACCACACGATATCACTTACATGTAGAATCTATAAGAATGGCACAAATGAACTTATTTACAAAACAGAAATACACTCACAGACATAGAAAACAAACTTGTAGTTACCAAAGAGGAAGGGTTAGGAGGGATAAATTGGTAATTTGGGATTAACAGATACATACTACTGCATATAAAGAAGATAAACAACAAGAATCTACTGTATAACACAGGGAGCTATAGTCAATATCTTGTAATAACCTATAATGGAAAAGAACCTGGAAAAGTGTATATAATTATCTATCTATCTATCTATATCTGAATTTCTTTGCTGTACATCTGAAACATTGTAAATCAACTATACTTTAACTTAAAAAAACTATCTCAGATTATTGAAAACTCTATAGAGAAACACCCCTTAGCCTTCAAATAAGTGGTTGATCTATCTTGGAAAACTTTCAAAGATCATCTATTTATAAAGAGAAAGAAAATTCACAGCCTCCCTGGGTATTGTCTTCTAGTATCTTGTAAGCTTCGTATCAGGAAATGAGTTTTAAAAGCTAAATTAAATCCTTACCATTTCAATTGAAGTCTATTTCTCATTCATTCAACATTTTTGTCTCTTCTGCTTATAAATAGCAGCTGTTCGTCATCACTCACACAGTGTGTAATCCGTACTTGCAGATCTGCTTTTCTATGAACAGAACATCATATGGCTTCTTAGAACATTCTAAAATCAATCAGGAGGAATTTACCAAATGCCATTTATGTGCAAAGCAGTATGGTAATGGGGGGAGGGGAAGAAAAAGGGAAAATAAAACACAGACTCGACCTTCAAAAAGACTAATACTCCTTCCACATTAAAAGTCTCATGCACATTTACTCATTTGTGAATGTCTCACTCACAAATATTTACTGAGTACTCACTGTGTGCCAGGCACTGTTCTAGGTGTTGGAAATTCTTGATAATAAGCAAAACTAGGCAGTATCCTACTGTCATAGACCTTACTGTCTAGTGACATTAACCAAATAATCACCCAAATAACTGTAAAATCACTGTGAAATACTATGAAGAGGAAGTATAAGGCCAGGTCTGCTGCTAACCTGTGTATACTATGCTTTGTGCTATTTTTTTTTAATACCTTTATTGTGGTATTGTTGCCAGTGGATGCAACTGGTATTCCAGGTTCTTGTCCCATACCAGAAAGAATTCAGAAACAAGACGTTGTGGTTAAAAAAAAGTAAAGTGAGAATTTATTAAAGGATGGATAGTACACTGTCAAGGGGAGAGCAGGCAGGCTCCGGTGAGTGGCTGCCTTGAGTTTCTTTGGCAAGTTAGTTATATAGGGTGTAAAAATGAATGGGTGGAATATTCATTGAGGGAAGGTCTTGGGTTGTATTTCCTGATTATCATCCCAACTCCACCTTCCCAAAGGGAGGAAGGATTTTTGTCCTTATTTAGTCTGGGTCAGAAGTGTCATGGCATCATGCATGATGGGTACTTCTGATTTGCAAGGCTAATTTTATTGAAATGAAAGCATAATGAGCAAGAGGTTACATTCAGACACTGGAAATTCCTGCTTTTCTCACCTTTCTTTGTTGGTCTCCAGGCCACTCATCACCCCCAAAGGTGTGGCCCCTTATCAGCCCAAAGGTTCTTGCTTTTCTTTCTCTGCCCTGGGACCCCTGGTGCTTACATGATATATGGTTCCTGCATTTGTCTCATGCCCCTCCTTTCTGCCCAATTCCTGCCATTTGGTATGTGTCCCCCTTTCTCTGCTCATATCTAGCTATCTGCCTGCTCTAACAGTATGATTCCTGTACAGTAAACTACGTATATTTCAGGTATACAATTTGATGAATTTTAATAGATGTATACACCCATGAAACCACGACCACAATCGAGGTAGCTAACATTTCCATCACTCCCCAAAAGGTGCAAATTTTGAATTCCCAGTTTATCCCTTCCTACCCCCTTTACCCTCTGGTAACCATAAGTTTATTCTCTATGTTTGTGAGTCTGTTTCTGTTTTGTAGATAAGTTCATTTGTATCCTTTTTTTTTAGTATACCATATATAAGCAATATCATATGGTATTTTTCTTTCTCTTTCTGGCTTACTTCACTTAGAATGACGATCTCTAGGTCCATCCATGTTGCTGCAAATGGAATTATTTTATTCTTTTTTATGGCTGAGTAGTATTGCTTTATGATATTTTTTAAGAGGCACTTCTATAGAAAAAACTACCCAGAGTAGGCACAGCTTGAAAAGCAGACTATGCCTTTGATGAATTAGAAAAAGGCAGCCCTTCTTCTAGGTAACACAGCCCTGCTCCATGTGCAAGGCTTTGTGAGTGGAATACAAACTAGATTTTAGCTGCTATCAGCTCAGCTGGGAACCCTTGTTTAGAAGAGCAACCTCCAATGTATGTGGCAGCTTTACAAAAGTTTCTGTGGACAGACAATAAAGTAAAATTTGGTAGGGTTTCCCTGAGGAACAGACAGAAGAATGAGAACTGAAAGAAGAATGGGAGTTAGCCAGGGGTAGGGGAAGAAACATTCTAGGAGTGGTAACAACATATGCAAAGGCCCTGGGGCAGGATAAGAATATATGGGAATATAGGGAAACTGAAAGGTCAATGCTTGTGAAGTACTGAAAAAAGTGACAGGAGTAACGGTAACAGATAAGGCTAGAAAAGTAGGTAGGGAGTCAGATCATGCAGGACCTTGTAGATCATCTTAAGATTACAATGTAAAAATACATCTTCTGCTGATAAGACTTATAATGGTAGGGTTCAAATGGCATTTCATTTTATTTTAATTTTTTCTTGCCATTTCTCTTAAATACAGCAAAATGCACAGGTCTGAAGTACACAGTTTGATGAGTTTTGACATAGGCATACATCCATGCCATCCATTTTCCTCATGTTTCTTTCCATTCAAAACCCACTCCACTCCCCCCACCCCCAACCCCCAACCCAGGGCAACCACTGTTCTAGTTTCTTACACCTTATATTAGTTTTGCCTATTCTAGAACTTCACATGAAAGTAATAAATTTTTTCTGTCTGTCTTCTTTTGCTCGGCCTAATGTTTTTGAGATTTATAAAACGATGTTAACTGCCTAGATTTGTTGTTCTCAAACTGTAACAGGCATAAAAATCAGCTGGATAGCTTGTTAAATCACAGTTTGCTGGGCTCCACCCCAAAACCTCTGATACACTATGTTGGGGTGAGACCCCTTCACATGCATTTCCAACAAACTCAAGGTGGTGCCCAAGCTGCTGATTCAAGGACCACACTTTGAGAACCACTGGTATAAATGATAAATTCAGAAATATCTTATGAACAGTTTCTAGAAATTTATCTATTCATTCAGTAAACATAGTTTTAAGTACCTGCTATGTGCCAGGCACTTTCTAGGTGCCGGGGATTCCAAAATAACTAGAACATCATCCTTCTCATCTAGTAACTTATAGTCTGATGAGAGAAGGCAGAGGTAAAGCAAATATTTCTAGCTGTCTTAGAAAGTCTCTTCACTAAATAGTGAACAAAATATTTTAAAAAAGGAAGTGCTCTTGCTTTCCGAAGTAGATAAATCACTAAGAATAAGAACAAGGCTGTATAATAGATCCCATCCTAGATACAGCATTCCTCTCTGCCACGGTGAATGCAAAGATGATCAGTACAATCTGTCTTATAGAATGTTTCCCATGTGTCCAGTGCTGTGAAAAGTGCTTTCCATGCAGCTTGTCATTTAATCCTCTCAATAACTCTGTGAAGCTAGAACTTTATGGATGAGGGAACTAATTAGCTCAGAGAGGTTAAAGGACTAGACAGTGGCCACTCAACAAGTAAGTGGGAGAATCAGAATTCAAACCCAAAGCTGGTTGACCCAAGTGCTGCTTATTTTCATCACTAACACTTGCAGCTTTCTAGAAGAAAGCAACCTTCATGAATAATTTTAGTGGTGAAAATACTAATGAGTCCTACTGTAGAAATATTCAACACAGAATACAGAAGTTGGATGGGATGGCGTAGGGAGCTATGTAATTTTAACTGGGTGGAAATAGAAAGCTTCACAAAGAGGTGGGAATTAGCTTGGAAAATAAATTTTTATCAGTTTTTCCTAATAGACTCTGGGAAGCAGAGACAATCCAGTAGATAAAAATACTGTATTCCAAAAATAGAAAAGCACATTGTATTGTGGATAAAGAGTTTATTGGGATCAGTTATAGCTTGAATGAAATCTCCCTTGTGATTATGCAATGACTTAGCTTACCAAATACTACTTTATGATTGCTAGTTCAACTCCCTGGTTTCCTTGATAATAGGAAGGGAATGTGCTAAAGAGTAGGCATTTGTATGTGAGTCATTGGAGAGGCATATTTCACAGCATAACTTTAATACTTGGGCATATGGTTTATAAATAGGTGTCATGTTCGTTGGGAAAGGGCTGAATCATGAAAAGCCTTCTGCCGTTGGTCTGTAAGTAATGGGTGGTCAAAGAAGAGTTTTCCCCTTGGCAGATGTCAGTGGGTAAGACTGGAGGCAGAGAGATGAACTCCAAGGCTACTGCAACACTGCAGACCTGAACTAAGGCAGCACCAATGAAGATGGAAAGTAGAGTTGCTTCCAGAGGTACTTAAGAAATACAGTCAACTAGACCAGTAATTCCTGGAATGTGAGGAGTGAAGAGAGAGGGACATAGAGTGCCTCAGGTATGTAGTTTGGCTGACTCCTGAATGGTGGTATCTTTAAATAAGATAAGGAAAATAGGAGGAGAAGCAGGTGGAATTTTTAACTTTTTTAAAAAATTGAAGTATAGTTGATTTACAGTGTGTTAGTTTCTGGTGTATACTGTACTGATCCAGTTATATATATTTACCTTTTCTGATTCTTTTTCATTACAGGCTATTACAAAGTATTGAATATAGTTCCCTGTGCTGTACAGTAGGATCTTGTTGTTTATCTATCTTGTGACTAGTAGTTTCTATCTGTCTAATCCCAAACTCCCAATTTATCCCTCCCCCTCGCCACTTTCCCCTTTGATAACCATAGGTTTGTTTTCTATGTCTGTGAGTCTATTTCTGTTTTGTAAATAAATTCATTTGTGTCTTTTTTTTTAGATTTTACATGTAGGTGATATCATATGATATTTGTCTTTGATTTACTTCACTTAGTGTGATAATCTCTAGGTCCATCCATGTTGCTGTAAATGGCATTTCATTCTTTTTTATGGTTAAGTAATATTCCCTTGTGCATATATATATATATATACACACTACATCTTCTTTATCCATTCATCTGTCAATGAATATTTACATTGCTTCCATGTCTTGGTTATTGTAAACAGTGCTGCTGTGAACATTGGGGTGCATGTATGTTTTAGAAATAGAATTTTTGTCTTTTCTGGATATATGCCCAGGAATGGGATTGCTGGATCATATGGTAACTCTATTTTTAGTTTTTTAAGAAACTTCCATACTGTTCTCCATAGTGGCTGCATCGACTTACTTCCCACCAACAGTGTAGGAAGGTTCCTTTTTCTCCACATCCTATCCAGCTTTTATCATTTACTGACTTTTTAATGATGACCGTTTTGACAAGTGTGAGGTGATACATCACTGTTTTTTTGTTTGTTTGTTTTTGTTTTATGAAGGGGAGGTAATTAGGTTTATTTATTTATTTATATTTGGAGGAAGTACTGAGGATTGAACCCTGGACCTTGTGCATACTAAACATGCTCTCTACCACTTAAGCTATACTCTCCCCCCTCACTGTTTTGATTTGCGTTTCTCTTATAATTAACTATATTGAACATCTTTTCATGTACATATTGGCCATCTGTATGTCTTCATTGGAGAAATGTCTGTTTAGGTCTTCTGCCCATTTTTTGATTGGGTTGTTTAGTTGTATGAGTTGTATGAACTATTTGTATACTTTGGAAATTAAGCCCTTATCAGTCGCATCATTTGCAGCTATTTTCTCCCACTCCAAAGGTTATCTTTTCGTTTTATGGTTTCCTTTGCTATGCATGGAATTTTTAACTTTTAATGTTGATCAGATAGACATGTAATTTTACTTTTCCCCAAATCTAAATACAGTCTTCAAGGGCAAATGGAAATGACAATGGTCTATCATTAATCTAAGGGAAGAGTTATCTCAAAAAATGGAAATAATTTTAATGTCTTGTGCTTTCCAGAGAGTTTTGTATGAGCATTAAATGAGATGATATGTGTGGAAGAGCTTGAAACATTTGTTATTGCATGAAACATTTTTAAATGATAAATTAATCTTGTATTTTGAAATAAAAGTTTGCTTATGCTTTAAAATCACTAGCCTTGATTTTAGGAATAATTCGATTTTATGTACAATTTTCCGCTTATAAAATTTTTTAAAAAGTATGAAGGATAATGTATTTTTATTATTAAGTGACTATCTTCTGAGACACTCAGTATTCTTTTCAAATGTAAAGCAAACCCAGCAATGTTCTTAGATGAAAATACTAAGACAAAAAGGATCTAGAAAGTTAAACTAAGAGTTAACATTCATTGCAGGCTTGCTATATGCAGGGGACATTGCACGATTTATCTCATTTAATCTTCACACCATCCTTGCACCTCTATTTTACAGATAACAAACATGAAACAAAGAAATTAAATTACTAGCTCACAGAGGCGGTAAGTGGTGGATGCACACAGCCTAACTCTGAGACCTGAGTTCTTCATCTCTGCACCATATGGCTACCCACTGAATTGCCAGCATGTTTATCTCTGGGTAGGTGAAGCTAAGTATATCCGTTGTCTCTTTCTTTTTGTTTCTCTGTATTTTTGGTAACATATATGTGTTACTTTGGGGTTGAGAGAAAGAAAGGTTATTTTAATTTAAAAAAGCAGTCAAATAAATGAATATATTTTAAATAACCCAATTTACATTCATTCCCTGAAAAAAACACCTCTGAATCTAATTTTGATTTTGAGTATTAGGTACATTGCTGTCTGAAGATCAAGTTTTGTCTGGTGCATGGTTCATTATTATGTGCTTAATTCTCTGAAAAATAAGACTAAATTATTGCCAGGTTAATTAACTGTTACTATCTTAGAGTCTGGAATATTAGAGATAAATGCACAATTCTGAAATTAAAGTTTAGCTGTCAAATCCAGAGAAACAGGCGGGGGGGGTTGTTTTGTTTTTTAACATTTGTAATCTTTAAATTGTCTGAAAGACTCTTAATCAGCCTTAAGAAATTCACTACTATCTGTAAGTTAAAGTCAGTACCCAAGCAGTCTTGAGAGCTTATGTTTAAGTTAGAAATGTGATTTACAACTTAAAGGAGCAAAACTGCATTCTAATTTCTTTACCGATACTTGGTTTTCCTTTTTCCTGTGTCCATATTGGATTGTTATTGTGTGATGTCTCAGGAGTATCAACCTGTTGGATCAGATAGTGCTGTTTTTGTTGGAATAAGGCAACATTAGGGATGTTTTTGTGTTAAAAGGGTAATTACATAGATTAAATTACAAGGACTTTGCAAAACAACATGAGGCACTTAAAGGGAAACAAAAAACAAAAAACAACCTCTAAAGCAGGTTACACTTGGATTCACTTAGCTTGACAGTAATCCACCACCAGTACATATAACCAAGGCAAGAAAAAAATATACTTCATATAAATATTCTTTGCACAAAAAAGTATTTGCTGATTTTGATTTGGAGATAAATATTTATTTAAAAATACATCTGAGAGAGAACCTTGAATAGATTTTCGGTACAGGCAGCTTTTTTCTAATGAAGAGGTGATAAATAAAAATAAATGAGCTTTTAAAAAAGAAGTGAGAAGGAAATTAGAAATTATACATTTTGAATTCTCTCCAACTTGGATTCTTACTTTATTTCATTTCTTTGAGAGAGCCAAAGATGACTTCTGGTTCTTAGAACAAAGACTTGAAAGAGCTAAAGCATTCAGAAGGCTCAGAGTGACAACTGTGAAAAGAGATTTTTGATGAGTTGAGTGTAAATGAATCAGAAACAAATGGATTACGCTCTTCAGAGTGCACATGAGTTTAACAGTGCAGAGGAAAACATGCTCAGTAAAATGCTCGGGCCATTCTAAAAGTGAAATACTTGAAATGTTTAAGATTTGAGGTGTACACTTAATGAGACCACAGCTATTCTTATCTGGAGTAAATGTGATAATTTCCCTTAACTTCATTTCTTCATTCCACATTTTCTAAAGCTTATGCCAAAGAATAAGGACACTATATTAGGAAGGCTGCAAAGTTCAAAATCTGCAGTTCAAGTTCAAAGGCCATGTGCTGGCAGAATTCGTTCTCACTTGCGGGCAGTCAATTTTTTGTTCTATTCAGGCCTCCAACTGATTGGATGAAATGCACCTGCATTATGGAGGGCGATCTGCTTTACTCAAAGCCAACTGATTTATATGTTAATCTCAGCCAAAACACCCTCATATGTTTAATCCAGAATAATATGTGATTGTATATCTGGGTACCTTAGTCGAGCCAAGTTGACACGTAAAATTAATCATCACAGATGCCTAGCTGGCTGATGTTGTCTGCTTATTAAATGTGACATTTAGAATCCTAAAGCAATAACAGTTCAAATGAGTGGACAGACTTCACTAACAAACTTTTAGATCTGGAAAGGCTATTGTAGACCTTATGATGGTGTTTCTCAATGCCGATGCTGTTAGCTTGGGGGCAGAGTAATGTTTGTATGTGGGGATTGTCCTGAGCATGGCAGGGCACTGGGCATCCCTGGCCTTAACCTCTGAATGCAAATAGCTCTCCAATCATTGTGACAACAACAAAACCATCCCTAAGATTTCCTAACACCTTAGGGTAGGGGGTAACTCTCCGCATTAAGAACTACCCCCTACTCTCTTTTACAGGGGGAAATAGATTTAATAAGATTACTTTTTACCATATTTTATACGTAGACTATTACTTTCACCCCTTTTTTCTGATTTGACAAGGTAATTAATTGTATCAGATTATTTCACAGTACGTAATATGTAAGTCTATGATTACATTGTATAAAATAGGATTTAAAATATAAACTCTAAAGAGTATAACAAGCTATAATGTACAAAGTTGGGTAAGAATTTCAGTCATGACACTACTAGGGTTTTGGTTAATACATATGTACATGTTTGGTATTAAACTAAAAGCATGGATAAATTACCCTCAATTTTGAAAAACTTTTTGAAAAACTGGTTAGTTGGGGAAGCATTAATCAGAAACAGTATATACGAACATACTGGATGTCACTGTTCATACTGAAAGGGAGCATTTCTGAGGTGACATGCTTGTTTTGGTTAACTAAAACACACTCTTTAGATATGAACTTAAATGTTACTTGCTCCAGGAAGTCGTTGCTAACCGCACAGATGTGCTTCACTGACATCCTGTATTCTCCCAATCGCAGAAATCATCACTGTAGATTGTAGTTGACATTACTGTCTCCCCCATGAAACTGGAGGCTCTGTGAGATCAGGGACCTTGTGAAGGTTGTTTGCCTGTCTTGTACTTCTAACGTTGAGCCAAATGCCTGGCACATAATTGAAATTTTAAAACTATGTGTTGCATTGGTGAATTAGGAGGGGCAGTATGAAGAAAACAAACTTCCATTTTTACTGAAAACCATGCATATATCATTTTCTACTGTGAGGCCTAGGGACCAGTAATAATTTATCGTCTGTGTGTTCCACCAGGCCCTAGCATTGCACCTGGTGTGAATAGTCTCTCTCATACTTTATTGAGGTGTAATTTATATGCAATAAACTGCATTCACTTAAAGTATACAGTTCAATGAGTTTTGACACCAGTATAACCCCTGTCACCAAGACATAGTTCCCTAGCTCCCCTTTGCAGTCATTTTCCCCCTTTACCTCCATCCCATGCGACCACTGATTTGCTTCTAGTCACTATAAATTAGTTTACATTTTCTAGAATTTTATATAAATGCAATCACACAGTATGTACTCTTTTGTACACACATATTTCTTGAGATTCATTCATGTTGTTGCATGCGTATGTAGTTTTTTTTATTGCTGAGCAAGTATTTCACTTTATGGATATATAATAATTTGCTCGTTTACCTGTTGATAGACAGTTGGGTTGTTTATCGTTTGGGGCTGTTACGAATAAGGCTGCTATGAATATTCGTGGGCAAGTTTTTGTGTGGACATATATTTTGATTTTTCTTGGGCAAATACCTAAGAGTGGAATTCTCGATTATATGGCAAATGTATGCTTATCTTTATAAGAAACTATCAAATCATTTTCAAAGTGGTTGTACCATATTTTTATTACCACTGGCAATGGATGAGCTTTCCATTTGTTCTATATCCTTCTCAACACTTGATATTGTCGGTCTTAATAATTTTAGTCATTTTGGTGGGTATGTAATAGTATCTTATTATGGTTTTAATGTGCATTTTTCTGATGACTGATGATGCTGAACACATTGATTATCCATTATCTTCTTTGGTGAGGTATCTGTCCAAGTATTTAGTCCATTTTTTTTTATTGTTTACCTTTCTTTTATTGAACTATAAGAGTCCTTTATATGTCCTGTGAACAGGTCCTTTGGCTGCTATATACAGAATGTTTTCTCTAGTCCAGAACTGTCTTTTCAGTTTCTTAGTGATGTCTCTTAAAGAGCAAAATTTTTGAATTTTGATGGAGTTCAAATTATCAATTTTTAATGATTCTTCTTTTTTCTGTTTTCTGAGAAATCCTACCCCAAGGTCACAAAGATTTTTCTTTCATGTTTTCTTCTAAATATTTTATAGTTTTAGCTTTTATGTTTAGATCTGTATGACATTTTGAGTTAGTCTTCATGTATGACGTGAGATAAAGATTGAAATTTAATTTCTTTCCATATGAATATCCAGTAGTTCCAACACTGTTTGTTGGAAAGACTTTCCTTTCCCCATGGAATAATTTGGCACCATGGTCAAAAAGTCAACTGACCACAAATGTGTACTTCTGTTTCTGGGCTTTCTATTCTGTTTCATTGATCTGTATGTCTGTCCTTTCACCAATACAACATTGTCTTGGTTACTCTAGATTTATAGTAAGTCTTGAAATCAAATATCATCTGTCCCGAAAGTTTGTTCTTTTCTGTGTCTGTCATTGAAGTGTTTATCCCAGAGATGATCCTAGTCACCAGTCCAAGCATAACCTTGCTTCCTTTCGTAGCCCCTGATATCTTAAAGTGTCTACAGAGTCGTAAAATGAAAAAAATCATGCTTTCCTTATTCTGCTATTTCTAGTTTATTCCCCTGTCCCAGGAGACCATTGTATGCTTTGGCCAGGAGATTCTTTGGCTTACCAACGACTGAAACTTAGGTTTTAACTAGACAATGTAGAGAGTCATGAGATAGGTGGATGGGGGAACTTCTACACATGCTCAGATGAATTGCAAGAGAAGAGTTCTATGTAATATTACACAAATTATTTGGGGAATAAAAATTATAACAAATAGATGAAGTATGTCCTTATTATCCATAAGCTAAGACTAAACATCTTTACCTATCACTTCTTGTTTCCTAATATATGTGACACTCCAGGAGAACTGTTCAACTCTTACATTCTATGGCTTTCTCACCTCTGTGCTATTACATTGCCATCCCCTGAAATGACTTTACCCCTCATCTTAGAATATCTTAATTTTCTTTTTCTATGAAGCTTCTTGTAATCTTCTCAACAAGGAGTAATTGTGCTTTTTCTAGCTCTTCCATGACACTTATATTTATGTCTTTATTATATTTATCATAGTAATACAATAGCTTGCAATTTTTGATTACTTACTATGTGCCAGACATTGTGTTAGATATTTAACATGCACTATCATTTTAATCATCACAGAAACATTATTTAGGTAGATACTACATCATAGGTAGACATTATTATGATTTAATTGACAGATGAGGAAATTGAGACACAAAGAGATTAAATAATATACCTTTAAGATCACACAACTAGCAATTTCAATGCTAGCGTTCTAACTAAAGTCTGTTTGGCTACAGAGTCTGAATTCCTGACTGATATGATGGCCTGTCTCCAAATAAGGCCTATTTTGCTGTCCTCTCTCGGAAATTCTGGAATACCACTGAAGGCCATCAATAATACTATTTGTACATGGCTATATACTAATATACTAGAAGAGATGGCAAAGACTTCGGAATTACTTGTGGGGCCTCAGGGATACCATAATTTAAAACCCTTGAACAAAAAAGATGTAGCAAGTCTCCCTACAGCTCCAGGTGAGTGTGTCCCAGACAGAATCTCTTAGTACAAGTTCTGTGAGTAATATTTTGAGTTGGCACAGTTGGCATCACTAAAATAGCCTTCCATTCCAGCCCTTGGGGAATTTAGTGAATGAAACTTCTTTGTGAAAACGAGCTAGAAAATAGACCTACACAACTTTTTGGTCCTTCTTTTTGAAAATACATTTGTTTCAAATAATGAAATTAACACATGTACATTTTGGATTATTTGGAAAATATAAGGAAACCACAAAGAAGAAAACTCTCTTATAATCTTACCACCTAGAGGTAATCACTTTAATAGTTGAGCCTTCTATCTCTCTAGTCTTTCTCTGGGCACACACAAACATGAATACACACATATTTTGAAAATATAATTGATACCATGTTACAGTTTTGTAAGCAATTTTTACAACAGCATATAGAATGTTTTCCTAAAGCATCGTTTTAATGGCTGCATAGTGTTACATCATAAGGATATGCATAATTTATTTAATCATACCCCAACTGTTCGGCATTTATATTGTTTCCAGTCTTTCCATATGTACACATACGTGTTTGTATCCACATCTGATTGTTTCCTTGGGAGCGGGAAGGGGGAAGGATGCTAAATCACTCAAAGTTACATTTCACTCTGACAAAGCTCATCCAGTGAACACTCTCAGTGCAGCTGGATTACCATCTGATGACTAAAAGATTTGTAATCCCTTGGCTAGATCCTGAAAGAGTTGTCGGAATTGCAGGGAATGATTTCTCCACTGGGAGCAGGAAGAGTAGTGGCATAAAAGAGAAAATACCAACCAAGCTTTTCGACTTTCTTACCAGAATGCCAGCTTTGCTACATGCCACCTGTTTATTGGTCTATACCCCAAAGATCAACACAGATCACCAACACAAAATGCTTGTGCATCAAGTTCTTAACAGAGATGGCAGCCTTAAAACAGCCACTCTGCCACACCCCCACCACAGGCTAAATTATTTGTTGGCAAAATCCTTTTCTGATTTACAGTGCCTTCACACTCAATAAACGTTTTCTGAATGAATTAAATCAACATTGTCTTACTTACTACTCTAATTTATATTTAATGCTTTAGAGGATTTAAGGGAGGCAAGCTCCTAGAGTTGTTATCACAAGAATAGAAAGACTTTACTTAGAACAGAATTAAACGAACTGAAACCACTTGTACAGGTTGGAGCTCCTGGGCAGAGACCTCTTCCATAAGCTCACTAATCCACACAACTAAAAGTACCTTGAACTAATCTTGTTCAAACTTGCATTGGGAGTCTATCCAGTTGCAACAGTTTTGTATAACTGGGTTTTATAATATATGTATCAATTATTTTTAAATCTCTGTTTATGTCAGCAGGAGAAATGTTTGCTTTCCACAAGATCTGTGTTGAAACTTGATGACCAAATTCTGTTTTTTCAGGTCAAATTCCAGTGAAACAGATTTCAGGATCACAGGATGGATTACAGTGAAGATATTTCTAAGCTTTTGCAGGCCCATAATAATAATAATAATGTTGTGTTAATATCTTTATAAGAAGATGGTTTACTTATCTCTAACACTCATTCATGTCATGCTAGTGAAAACTACATAAGATATCTCCCACAGCCAGTATATTTGCATAAAGTAAAGAACATTGTATAGGGTAGAGCAAGGCCTTAAGAAGTCCCATAGTTTGCTTTCTACTGATCATAGTACAGGAAAGATACTATTTAGTTTCTGATGCCTTTATTATGAAAGTTCTGAGCACATGTATCTTTATGCAAACTGTTAATGTCTTTTTGCTTGTGAATGCTAAAGAATTGGAGTTTTAGGTCAGTTTTGCTAAGAATTGGAGTTTTACGTTAAGATTTTTTTTAAACTTCTCTGAGCCTTAATTTCCTACTGTATAGAAAGCGTGGGAATGGAGGGCATTGAGGGAGGTTGATACTGTACTAGCAGCATCTCTTTCCCATTTCTGCATTCTTGGTTTTGCTAGTTTGTGTATCTATGAATCATAAGCAGTTTGGAATCAGCATGGTGGAATGACGATCTGTAGAACTTGGGGAAGACTTGGGTTATAGATGGCTCTGCTATTTAAAAACTGAAATCTTGGACTGATCGTCTAAATAAGCTTGAGTTGCTTATAAAATGGGACTCTGATAATACCTGCTTTAGATACCTTGGGGTTGTTGTGACTTTCAAATAAGATAAAATTATTTGAATCCTTTGTTATGTCAGTTTATTAATTTTTGAATGTTCATTAAAGGCTTTTCCCCCCTCTTTCCTTGGCTCCTTTTCTTCCACCTACCACCTAAATGTCTCCTTTCCTTAAGGTTCGGTCATTTCTTCCTTTAGTTCTGTCAACAAATGTGTAACCCTTAGGTGACCTATTCCATTTTCATAGTTTCAACTTTGGAATATATGGTGATGTCTGCTGTTGG